TGGCTAATTTAAAGTGACTGAAAATGTTGTTAATTTTTTTTTTTTAAACTTGTGTGATTTTTTACAGAAGTCTGGGACCATTGGAAAGGGTGGGCCCCACAATTGGGTAAAAAACGTGGGGCCCCAAAAAGGGACAAATGCGAGTGTGTGTGTGTGTGTGTGTGTGTGTGTGAGTTCTTGTACTTGTTACTCACTGAGGACCGGTCCGAGTTTTTAACCAACAAAGTGAAGTCTTTTTTGCGAAGTGAGGACATTTTGGCCGGTCCTCACTTTGAAACCTCTAAAATAGGCTTCTAAGGCTATAGAGATGCTCCCCTGTTGTTTTCTCAGCAGTCTCTATTTTGATGTCAAAATGAGCTTTGGACCGAGTTTTGGACCTCTGATTTTTCACACACTTTTTGCTCTCTATCGCCCCCACTAGTACCCCCCCCGGTACTGCATCTGAATTATCTGAAAAGTGTAAGGCCTCATGCATTACTCAGGTAGAAGCATTGATACTAGGGTATCAAAAGAGTTCTGTGGAAGTTGAAGTATCAATTCAAGCTTTTTACTCAAATAAAAGTCTAAAAGTACTGGTTTCACAACTGCTTAAAGTGTAAAAGTAATTTAAGGGGGAAAATGCCTTAGGCTGCGTCACAGGGGCCTATAGTGCACTACCCCATCTCCTCAAAAATATTGTTCTAAAGGCCATAATGACTATATTAAAGTGTATTAAAGTGTTTTGTTGAAAAATTTGGGATGCACTAGGCTACCTGTTTCAGCTGCATATATGCCCTTTGAAAATAAACACAATTTAGTACACTACAAATATATTAAAGAACCATATATGTATACTACTGAGCATTAACGTGTTTCATGGAGCAGAGGGAATGATGACTAGTTTCCTATAGGTATTGTAAGGGTGCAGCAACTCAAACAACAGTGGCATGTTGTCAATAACCTTTATTGGAAGTTGAATGTACCCAGGGCAGACTTCATAACAATTACCCGTGTACGGTTGTCTATATACAGCAGACATTAGTGCTGTTAAAATGAATAATTAATCTAAGTGATTGATTAAAATAAATAAATACAGAAATACAGAAATAAAATTGAAAAAAACCTTCCTGATGATACCTTCAGCTATAACTGTTCAACTCTGAGCTCGAGGGGAGGGGGAGGAGCAGCAAGCGGGGAGAGGTAGGGGGCGAGGGTTGAGGAGTGAGGACATTGGGGTGAGATAGAGCATCATGCTCTATCACCGGACTGTGAGCAATATGTTACTGTATCCAGTGTTGTTGTTATTAGGGTCCAAGGACCCCTACTTGCTGCAGCAATCTTGTTCCCACTTCGTTTCTTTCTTCTTATTATTTGCCTGACCGTGCGTTTCCCTTAATTTGACCCCTTAAACACGCTCAAAAACTCACCAAAATTGGCACACACGTCCGAATCGGCGAACAATTTGATAAAATGAAAAAAAAAAGGCAAAAATGCTCTCTAGCGCCACCTAGTTACAGAAAAACACACTAAAACGGCCCTAGCACCCAGTAGGAATGTCGTACAGAGATCAAACCAACATCAAAACGTTCGTCTCAATGAGACCCACAAATCTCGTGCTGAAACCCCGACCTATCTCCAACAGGAAGTCCACAATTTGCCTTTCAAAATAAAAAAATGAGCAAAAACATCTTTTGGGAAAAAATTATCTTGTCTGACACCGTAAATCGTACCAGCTTGAAAATCGCACAGGAGACAGAGAAGGCCTTGATGTACAAAAGTTCTGAAGGGATTGGGTTTTTCTCAACCAGTTTTCGAATTGCAAGCCGTTAAAGTTGATGAGCTGTTGCAGCCTCAGCTCATACTTTGTATGACTGTCTATGGGACATCTCCAGACATACTGTGACATTTGGTCATCTACACAAAAAACTAAAGGTCCTACAGCTTTAAAAATGACACTGAGGGCTTCCTAGCAAGATTTCCCACAAAAATAAGCTGTTTTTACACACATTTGGTGAAAATTGTGACTGTATGGGAGAGAGAAAGTGAGAGAAAGTCAGTAAAACTCTCAGCTCTCTCACCCAGGGACATGAAGAACGATGACATCATCACCTGCAGCTGTGATCCTGATTGGCAGCTCAGTGCAGCAGGTCATGTGACTCACTGACAATCTGAGGCTGAGCAGAGAGAAAAATGGCTCCTTCAACTTAAAGCAGGTTTAAATTGTGTCAAAATGGAGGTCAGACGGGCATGAGGGTCCAACGCAGACCGAGGACCCGACCAACACTGCTTGCAGCTTTAATTATTATTATNGCTTATTTCTAAAATAAAAACCTAGCTTTAATCTGAGTTTTTTGACAAGTCTATCCAAATGAGTGGAAAAGGTTAGTCTGGAGTCAAGCCAAACCCCAAGGTATTTATAGGAATCCACTAGTTCTATGCACTTTCCCTCAGAAGTGGAGATGTTAGGAGCAGGAGGCCTGCAGTGTGATCTAGAGAAATGCATAACTTTTGTTTTACTTGCATTTAAGACCAGCTTAAGGTTTTTAAAGTCAACCTGAATCAAAGTAAACAATTTTTGTAAGTGCTGGAAAGCGCAAGACAGAGAGGAAGCACAAGAATAAACAATTGTATCATCAGCGTACAGATGAAAGTTAGAAGAATCAGAATCTGTTATATCTCTGCCAATGTTGTTGATATAGATCATGAACAAGATGGGCCCCAGAATGGAACCTTGGGGCACACCCCGAGCAATTGACTTAGAAGATGACCTCAGCCCATCGACAAGGACTGTCTGGGACCTGTCCGAAAGATAACTAGCGAACCAATTAACCGAATCAAGATTCAAGCCAATATCATGAAGCCTATTAGTTAAGATGGTGTGGTCCACAGAGTCAAATGCCTTGGATAAGTCAATAAACACTGCTGCACAGTGTTTATTATTGTCAAGGTTTTGAGTTTTAAGTCATTCAGCACTTTGGAGGCAGCGGTTATTGTGCTGTGACCAGATCTAAAGCCAGACTGAACAGGGTTAAGCTGACCACTTTTTATTAAAAACTCCTTTAACTGATCATTCACCAGGGATTCCATAATTTTAGCAACCACTGAGAGTTTTGAAATTGGCCGATAGTTGTCAACGTCAGTGGGATCCCCTCCTTTAAAAATGGGCAAAACATATGCCTCCTCCTGCATAAAAGAGGTATTTAGTTAATGGTTGGTAAAACTGTATTTTTCCTGACTGTGCAGATTTTGTTAGTTGTAGTTACAGGTTAAAGTTCTAACAACTCTGTAAGTTATCCTTTTTATGCCCATTTAGGTAAACAACCTATTGTTAAAAGAACCTGGACAACAGAAGAATCTGCTGCAATAGAACGTCATTTGAAGAAATTCATTCTGATGAACCAAGTCCCAGGAGAGGAGGACTGTCAGCGCTGCATCACTGCAGAACCTGAAGCCTTGAAGAGACGAGACTGGAGGGCAGTTAAGTACTTTGTTAAAAATCGAATTACCTCTCCGCGAAGAAAATTAGAGTGAAAGTGTTTCACTCTAAAATTGTGTGTTGTAGCTCTGTTTTCACAATTCAACCACTTTACTTTAAAAGGCTGATTCCAGAATCTTCTACTTCATGTATCTGAGATTGAAGAAGATCTGAAAACATGTTTGTGCTCTTATTTTTCCTCCAGTAAGGCCATCTAGAATACCGAAGCTGTCAAAGTTGCCAGTGTAATGTTTTTATGTTATTCTGCTATTGTGTTATTGTGTTGTGTTCTTGTCAACACAAGGAGCCATTGGACTGCTTTCCTGTTATCAAAGCTCACTGTAATAATCAGCAGCTGATTCTTCAGCTGATTCAGCAGGTGTTTGTTTTTTGATTATCACTGTGCTGTCTACCTAATGTGANCCACCTCGAAGAAGGCCAGCAATCAGACAAGTCAGTTATCAAACAAGCAGTTTTTTTATTTTCACAACGAAGAGGGGAAATCAGGCCAAAACAATAAACAAAACCTATCCTACCTTAATCCTGACTATCAGAAAAGAAAAAGCAAATAAAAGACAACAATCTTACCTACCTACCTAAGAACAAAAAAACAGGAGAAAAGGTTTTAAAGAAAAAGGCCTCTCCCTCCTACTCTGCTCTCTAACTACAAGTTTACCAAGAGTCCCTACAAGACTCGGGATCTGTTTTCAAACGATTCTGTAACAAACACACGACTGCTGCGTCCTCCTGAGGTGCAGTTGCAAGGGTCTGCTGGCTTTCTCCGAGGTGGTGAGGCTGGAGGTGAGGAGGAGGAGTACAGCTGGCGGGCTGTTTAAATACTGGGTTGGCCCGCCCTCTGACCAATGGTGTGGCTGGGAATCGGCGCGGCAGCAGGTGAGCCAGCCAACCCGGGGTCACCACCTGCTCTTAATCCATTCGTCACCACACACATGCACACACACTCACACTGAGGACAGACACAGGCAGCAAAAAACACAAAACACCAGATGACCCGCACAGGGTCATAACATGTTCCTTTCGTCTTTTCATGATTTAAAAGGGAAGATCCATATTAATAAAGGATGTTGATAAAGGGGACATTTAAGAAGTTCTGAAACAAACAAGAATTTGTTCTGTTGTAACCCATGTAGGAGTAAAACAAAAACTGAAGCTCTTTTGGTCTGCTTATGGATGAACAATACTTTGCATTTTGAACTTTTATTAACACATAGTGGAGTGGATAATATTCCAAATCTGGGCTTGATTAAGCCATTGATGCGCAATCTAAAAGCCCTCCATCACCCGGCCTTAAATAGATTTTAGTTATGTGGCACCTATGGGGTTGTGCATTTTTTAAAAATTTTGTTTAACCTTTATTTAACCAGGTGAGTCCCATTGAGATTGACATCTCTTTTACAAGGGAGCCCTGGCCAAGAGGGCAGCAACAAGGTTTACAACAATACAACACACAAAAAATAAGCTAAATAATGTAACATCACTACAAGGCATAAAAACATGCAATACATACAGTACATAAAAACTCATTTAAAGCAGTTACAGACTTCTGTTTTTACAGTTTGTAACAAACATTTAAAATCTCCCAGGGAAACAAGGTCAGACAATTTGAGCGTTCTCTGGATCAAATTCCAGGACCAAGGGGCATTGTAGCAAAACGCAGTCTTCCCAAATGCAGAGAAGGCACGAGGGACCGAGAACAGTAAAATGTCCTGGGAGCGGAGGCTGTACC